ATAATGTGCTTGAATGAGGGAATGAATTGTAGCACCTGCTGCTGATATTTCCCTCGTTCGAAAGAGAGTCAACTCAGTAGGTGTTTCCCCTCTTTCTACTGCATTTTGCAGCCCATTCAGCGACGGAGGCGATTTTGCCGTTGAGGAGATAAAACAGTACAAAACGCGTCTGGAAGATTTGGCTGTGGAGTTGCAGGCAATGGAAGATTCTGTCGCCGGAGGGATGGAACACTTTGAGAACGATAGACAAAGCTTCATCGACAGATGGCTGAAGACATTCCGAACTGATATGAAGCACCGCATGATGGATGTGAACCACACAGAGACTGTTCGGCGAACCATATCGAGTGCAATGGTAGGACGGGTTCTTTTGTTACACTGTTCTGTAATATCTGCTCCCGCTTCAACTGCGTCCTCATATTTGTGTTGGTTTAGATGGACTACAAAAGTGCATTTTTGAGCTTCGAAGTAAGAGATGAAATGATAAAAGCAGATTTGTTCACTTGAATAAGACTTGCTATTCTTTCCTTCTCCCGTACCATGCCTATCCATGATATTTACTGGTCTTAAGAGTGCACCAATAACCAAACAAGTACAGTTGCTTGGATTAACTCCCCATGTTGATCCATTGTTCCGCTGTAATTGTTTCTGTCCAAAGTCCGCTAATTTGTTTTAGATTATGACGTTTTGTTCAGCACAATGTTGTTATCCGACCTCTGGAAAAACAGCTCTCACTACTTCTATTCGCCTGTGAGATCCCTACAGCAGCTGGGTCAGACATTTCCCGGGGATATCAGTGCACAAACAGAATCCGGTGGAAGATGGTGTTGCCTAGAGGAGCATTACAAGTGTAAATTTCCACCTCTCACACCACTAAAGAAACTCCATCTAATGCCCTTTCACAACAGCTCTTTATTGTTTCGGTATAAGCTACAACTATACGAAAAATCCAAGTCAGTTTGTCCTTCGTTTAAAATGATACCGCTGCACAAAAAATATCCCAAAATCGGTAGAGCCCTCCTCACCTCATTCTAACTGACACATTTCATCGTCGCAACATGAGGTTGGCGGAACCCCGGAGAGTGCGCCCACCTGATGAGCCCTAAGATGGGCCAAACCGGTCGTGGTCTGTCAGAGTTTCCAAAATTTCCAAAGGATTGTGGCACATCTTTGCGGAGGAATACTCCACTTTGTAACACCGAGAATCAAACCTTACTGGATCACCGTATGTTGGGTCTCATGACGGCGATTGATGTGGAGTTGTTCTACCTCTGTGGTTTGCCAAAATGCTCAGCAAGAGACTTCCTATTTAAGGACCTTTGTAGTCATCACGGGATGGTCGCCAGTATTCACACACCACTGAATGAGAAAGAGAAATATGGAACTCTCCATTGTATTTTCAGGGGGCGAGATTTGTTACTAATACCTCCTGTGATTTATCCAGATACAGAGATCTGTTGGTTAGTATTTTCAGTCTACTAGCAAACTGTAGAGGGACCCTAGAATTAGGATTAACCATTCTACGGAACAATTCTTTGTCCAGCGTGCTAGTGTAGTCAGGTAGGCACATCACAGTGTGTTTAAATCATCATCATCGTCATCATCATCATCATCATCATCATCATCATCATCATCATCGACAGCATGCTCAACACCGATGCCTCACTGTCGTACAACCATGATTTATTTGAAAGCCTTATTGTAAAGAAAAGAGTAAAGGTGGATGGGGAGAGGACTTAGTGCTAGCTCACCACAATCATTCCGAGGTGACTACACCTCCAGACATTCACTTAGGCAAGCTGGATAGAAACTGACAACAAGAACGCCACTGACATCGGTTGGCAGCCATATCTTGTAGTGTCTCCAACCAGGCACAGTGAGGATCACGCTGACCCCATCCTGGAAGGCGAGTAGCACCGACAGCACCCAAGCGTTTCGTGATCTCCTTCATACTCCACTGCCAGGTCAAGGGTTGGCCACCTCTCTGTTTACGCCCTTCTGAATTGGGCATGGAAAACAGCACTCTCTTCGGCAAACGATGGTTCGGCATACGCAATACATGTCCCAACCAACGCAGCCTCTGGTGCTGGACACATTCTTCAATGGAAGTACCCGTTACACAACCGGAAACGAGCTTTCTAACTGTCTCATTATGGATTCTCCGACACTACACTAGGTATGGTTGTTTGACAAAGATTGTCGAATTGATACACACGTCCCTTCAGATTCAGGGATAAACCATTCTCAACTTAGCAAACGCGGCACGAGCATTGCAGCTTCGTGCATCCAACTCATCTGACGCAAAACAATCAGAACTAATACAACTTCCAAGATACGTAAAACGCTCCACAACTTCCAATACCTCTCCCTGGGTTGTCAGCGGCGTGTTCAGTGAGTGTGTGCGTTTACGTGCCAAAACTACCTGGCAAAATTTTGCCTCCAAGGTTTTCCCTTGACACTGGCCTATCCGGGCGACGAAAAATTTCCTGTTTCTCAAAGACTCCGCCAAAACAGACTAGGTTGAATAGAATGCGAACCTTCTTTGAAACGTCGGACAAGAAACACCTTGATATGAGCAATCAGTGACACTTACTGTTCAGCCAGTGAGGAATTGAAAGAAATGGAACTTGGAAAATGATCCGTCCACAGTTTGGCTTCATGGTTAAAACTTCCAGAAAATCCAGACGATTCCTCCTGATACTAGAGGTTGTCCTTTATTTTGTCTTTTTCTTTCATGGTCAGTCTATTGGCTGAATGATTTTCAAGAGAAATACGATATTGGGCTCTGTACGCAAACTCTCGCGGACGTGTAAAGTCTACGGAAACCGCTCGCATGAGTTCATCACATCAAGTGGTACTAGACAAGACTGTCCTTTTTCACCCTTCCTCTTCAACTTCGTGATTCATCCGATTATGAAAGACTCACTATCAGTGTCTAATGCCGGCAGGGTCAAAGTGTCCCGAGGAATTCGCTCACAGATAGTGAATACGCATATGACAGCTCATCTTGGATCGGACCCCTTGGTAATGCAAGCAGTATCACTTATTCTAAACACTTCTGCTGCAAGTGTAAAGGTGAGCTCGAACGCGATTGAAGTAACACGCTGTATCAGTCTGAGTATTCTCACGAAAGAAGATCGTGACATCCAGAAAGGGAGAGCCAGAGTAGTTTTCGTGAACCTGCATCACCTGCGGTGTAGGCCTGACATCAGCTTATTCTTCAAGGGTCGAGTTGACAATGCTGCGGCGCGCTCCATATTACTGTATGGATCAGAAACCTGGCCGCCGCGCGCCGAGGACGTCAAAAGACTTTCAGTGTTTGACCATCGATGTCTTCGGAGCATTGCCCTTAATCTGGTGGGAACACCGGATAGGCAATTCGGAAGTACGTCGAATGGTTTTCGAAAGGAATAACACGTCCATGATGGATGAACTGATCATACTGCACAGGTTGCGCTGGTTTGGTCACGTGCTCCATATGCCAGTTGTCCGACTTCCTTGAAGGGCTCTTTTCGCAAAACCACATGAAGCGAATCTGGAGTGAACTATTGAAGCCCTTACCAGCAAGCTCAGCTGGGCTGGTCAGTGCTGTCTTCCTGGGTTGGGGCCCCGAGACGGATCACATCAACGGTGAGAGACATTGTCAGACATGTCCCAATCGCGCCCTGAGTGGCGTTCGTGCATTCAAGTTATTGTCTTCAATGCACAGGTCCCTTTCCAATATCCAGTATTTACGCCTCAATAATAACAGCTATTGCCTGTAATGCGCAGCCACCTAACGCACCTCCACAAACCCTCGGTGAACGAAAATGTGGTAGGTGTAACCTTGTATAAGGCAGGTACACTGGTCCTAGGCCTGGTAATGACGGTCACCGTACGCCAAAACACTGCGTTTCTAACACTTCCATTAACCTTTGTGTTATATCTGCTGATTCGCCAGTCTGTTGTATCTGCTGCTGACCGCGCTCCAGTGCCTAATGCCATAAAAAAGACTCACAGAACGGCAGTGCCGTAAAAAAGGCTCACAGAACGGAACACAACAGCTATATTCTGAACAAGCGAGTGAGTGCGTGTGAGTGCAAAAATTACAACGGCCCCGCGTAGTTAAAGTGGACTTTCTGACTTTGATGCAGGCTGTCTGATGGGCGTTACTGAACACCCATCAACATCGATCGTGCCTCTATGAAATGCCTGAACGCTGATCACATTCCGTCGTGCTTCTGTGGCGTGCAAGAACACTCATCAGCTTTTGCTGAATTGATTGAATGATTGATTTGCCGGCTTTCCTACTGAGTTTTTGGTGGAGCAGTAAGTTCCGGGTGTTCTGAGGTTACTTTCAGGAATCCAACCTTCCTGATACATTGCTACCAAATATAGTAAACCAAATATAGTAAATATAGTAAACCATATAGTAAACGAATAGTTTTTGCCTTCAACAACAGAATTCAAATCATTTCCCGGCACGCACCTTCCGAAGACAATTTTTTTCTTTCTATATAAAACAAGCCCTTTGGAAAGGCTGCAAGAGCGCTGCCAATGAGCTAAGAGTTGGTTTGAGGTCATACCTATGGAACAAGAGGAAGAGCTAGTTCCTGTGTGAAGTATTTTTCTGGGGATTTACTGTATTTCGGAACCCTGTGTAGTAAGCATGCTATTTTCATAACCAAATTAGACACGTAATTGTCTTTGTTACGCAACAGGTTCGACTGAAATCAATTGGCATCCAGAATCAAAGTGAAGCGAACAAAATCCGAAACAGTCTGCTTCAGCTGGAGTCCCTTGTACTCCAGTTAAGCACATTGTCAGAACTTCGATCGTCTCATGTCTGTATGCTCGAAACTTCTTGGAAAGAAACCAACCAAGGTTACTCAAAGCAAACGCCAAATGCGGAGGTTCAGCAGTCTGCAATCCAATTACTTTGGACATCAAAGGAAGAAGAAATGTTACGTGAAACCAGGAGGGCGGTGTTAAATGTGCTCGGGGAGCTGTACATCGATGTGAATAGTTGGCGAATGTTCCTACGGTTTCAAACGGCGGCAAACACGCAAACCGGACATCTGTCACGAGAAAGTACAATGAATCATCCGGAAAGTCAGGTTGTCTTTTCAAATTTGATTCCGCATGTTTAGGAGGAATAGCTGTGGATGATGATGAATTTGTACCCATAAGGCACCACAGTACCGCTCCTAAGAAACGTACATGTCACTTCCTTTGTAGATTACATCAATTGATCAACCGACAAGTGGAACTGCAGTACAATCACTCAAAGGGATACGGAAGTCGAAGTGGCCCTCGAATAAAGTCAAGTTAGAAGGGGGCGATCGAAAATATCACCAACATAAACCGTTAAATAACAGGGAAGAAGGTCAGGCTGTACCCAGTCAACAAGGTAACTCACGGAACTTTCGTTCGGCCTTCATTTATCGAACATGTTAAAAGTGTACAAATTGGGGCAGTGGACCACTTGTGTGACCTTCTGGGTCGGTTAGTTCATCCATATAACAAGGATAGTCAAACATGAAGCGCTAGGTGTTATGCATGNTCGAATAGTATACTAACCGAAACATCAGACGATCTTTGTGTAGCACATTCAGTTGAAGAACATCATAAGCGAGGGATTCAGTTGAGTCTCCTGTTTTAACTAGATAGATTTGCAAATGAGTATATCTGTCAGAATCAATCGAATTTGGGTTCAAATAGAACACAAAGTTGACGAAAACTTGGAGACTTTGCCTATCTGATGAGCTTTAAGAAGGAAAAAAATCGTTTGTGGAATGTCGAAGAGTTTTCGGCGACCTTGGGGCAACGTTATATTGTCATTGGATTCCTTGGGTATGAGAAGCTTCACACAGTTTGTCGCAAAATGGATCCGAACTCCGTAGACCATTGTATTGCTCGGTTTGAGCAGACAAATGTATTTGGCACGATTCTTGGACGACTTTGGAAACTCAGTAGAGTGACGACTCTCAGATGCTGTGAGCTTCAAAATTCATTTCCACCACAGTCGCCATGGCATTCAAAGCTCGTTTTGGCACTCAGGTGTCGGTAAATTTAGCAAAAAGCTTGGGTTAATCAACTCCACGTTTCAACATGAGAATGGCATGCGAGTTTAAAATAGACCTTCACTGGTACCAGAGCTCTGATACGACTGGGATAAAGTAGTATTTGGTAAAAACAACGCCTAAACTAGACTGGAAGCTGGGTTCTTCATTGAAATGTTTCAATCCTCTCACAGGGCTTTACCCAATCAAACAGAATCAAAGAGCATTTACACACATACGGCTAACATGCATAAACACGCTGATCGCATCTGACTGCCAACATATCACATGAACACACCACTTTGAGGACATAATAGTGTACCCAAATTCAGACTGTAGAAGTGCTTACAGAAGCTTGCCAGCGACAACCAGAACGTTCGATTATAACCTCTTATTTGACTTTAAAAATTCTATATAAATAGCATCATCTTTGCTGTAAACCAGAACGTGAGTAATGTTGGGAGAAGGAATTAAATCAGAGAGAGAGAGGGAGCTAAGTGTATTCCTAGGGACAGACTAGTCTGACGTTTCTATGTAGGTTGGTTGATCAAGACAAACGTCAACGAAAGCTCACAGCAACACCGCCCCTGTAATATCATTTTCGAGGTCTCGAGACACGGATAAACGCAGGTCACTTGTCATACATCTATTCCACAAGACGATGGAACATTTATTGCACCTGTCCGTTCTGTGATGTCTGTCTGACTGCCGTAATGTTAGCACCAAAGTCGCACGCAGGCGGCTGACAGCCAATCATTGCACGCTTAGTGGGACCGCTTAGCTCAGCATCCGTATGCGAGCTGTAAACTCAGTGTGCGAATAAACGTAAACTCAAGTGAGAGTTTATAGGTGGATTAAGTGAGAACGGAGGGTGGATGGGTAGTGAGCTCTTTCCATCCTCTGCAATGGTAAGTTAGGCCACCTTAAAGTCGGTGGAAAACGCTTGAAATTGTGGTGATGGCTATCGTCCAGTTGCAGTTGGATTTCACTTCAAAGCATCTACTTCACATCCAATAGGATTTCCTGTTTACCGTGAGTGCGATTGTAGCAGAGTATCCAGCAGCCCATTCCACGAGCTCGTGTAAACATTTTAGGTGGTGAAAAGCTCGGTTCCAAAGTACAACGAAAGAATACGGTACCCCATGCAGCCAATGTTGGGGAGGCAGTCTTTACGCAGTTCAAGACGTCCGCATCAGGAAAGGACGCGTGAGTTCATCCATTTTGTTCAGTTAGGCTTCTAAGTTGTTTTACCCATGCCTGTCATCTTATTATCTTATGATTTATTTGCAAAATTTAATACACTAAAAATAGGCTATTTTTCTGCCATTGATTTGGTTTCAAGTTTTAATGACCAGCAACAGCTAGCTTTCCACGGCAGCTAGCTTTCCTAAGCGAGATGACCTTGGCTTACGATTGGCGCCTTAAGTGTACGTTCCTATTGGACGTTTGGCAGGTCTGCCTTCTGATTAGTTGAGAGCCATTGAAGTAGATCATAAGGATGACGGAAACTCGGGGACTGCGCCTACCTGATGAGCCCCAAGAAGGGTGAAACCGGTCGTGGACTGTCGAAGAGTTTCCAGCAACCTTGTGAGTAGTTTCCTTTATGAGAGCCATTTAACTTTTGGCCCTGATCTATGTTTCCCTCACCGATTGAACTCCGTTTGTCGATCAGGCAGCAGCTGATCCGTGTGGTTCACAAACCAGCCCACATTTATCCACTATCTACAACTTAGTTCAAGGTCGAAAATATCGCATGGATGCCCGGATATCCTGTACATTAAACAGTGGGACTTCTTTCCTTCAACAGTATATAAGTTTGCTGGAGAAGCTCCACGCTAAAAATGGAGACCGCTATATCGTTGCAATCCCCATTCCTTGTTAATGTACTCCATATTTTTCAGTGTCGCCACGCTCGATACTCAGGCGAAACCGTCAAAGCGAAAAGAAAAGTTGGACGAATACATCAAGAATGCTTTTGGTGGGGACGTGTCAGACGACCTTGAGGAGAATGACCCAACTTCAGGACCTACAATGATGGAATCTGTCAGACGGATATGCCGGCAGGCTCTCCAAGAGACTATGCGCCTATCAGACGTAGGTTGGACGAAACAGGTCAATGGTTTTTGTAATGTACTACTCATAAGGTTGCTGAAAATCCATCGACAGCCCACGACCGATTTCGCCCTTCTTGAGGCTCATGAATATCATGATCCTAATGTGTTCGTCCTACAAAACAAATATACTGCATGGGCCGTGCTCATGAATCCAGTAATTATACTGACACCGTAAGAAGCGTTTAAGAGTTTTGTATGAAGATGGCAAGTTCACAGTTTTCGGAGGGATGTCGAATTGACTATTCAATAGGATAAAGTCGTTATTTACTTATTTAGTACGGCCACCATAAACACTTCAGTGTTTCTATTCGTTGGGGGGGGGGGAGCAACGGAATCGTTGAACTCGATTCTCTGCCAGTTGTATAGTGACAGTTCCATTTTGTGGGGCTAACGACGAGTAAAATAGCCTTAGGCCTGCTATGCTGGTCTTGTAGGCAATGACTTTTTTCAGCCGTCTAAAACTTCATTGAAATTCAGACTGTGGATAAGTGTCCTAGGGAAGCGATGTACTCGATAGAGTGAGACCTCATTCTGGTATCATGCACACGAGTAATCCCAACTACTGATGTGTTCAGTCTTTAACCACTTCAGTCCGCAAAGTGCAAGATGTGCGGGTCTACATAAAATGGTCGTTCGTTTGTCTGATTTTTCGAGGATTGAGACAGATTTGCCGCCGAGCACCTTACAAGCAGTCTGATCGATTTGACCCTAAACTGCAAAAGCATCGATCTCATTCCATCGTGCAAATCCTCTGAACAGTTTCAGTGAGTGGTCTATGTATTATAGGTAATCAAGTCAATTGTTCGACAAGTCTAAAACCAAGAACTTGTCAAGCGAAAGCGCACAAGGTGCGCAAGAACATAACCGCATCTTTTCCACACCGTACATCTTCAAGTTGGAAGCCAAGGATAAAAAGTAAATTGGATGTATTTCAAGAATGTCTGAATGCTAAAAGCCAACGAAGGGGTCGGTTTCGAACAGAATGTCAATTCTTGTGCTTTGGCTTCGTGTTCTTACAGAATGTACTACTTAATGACGCGAGTACAGGAAACTTTGCTTCCAATATTTAGGTTGTGTGAATCACAAAAGACGAAGGTGTATGCGAACAAAGCACGGTGTGAACTTCCATCTGATCACTTCCTTGACGGTTAAGTGACCCATGTGTAGCCCGACCAAAACAGACCCCAGAAAGCAAATGGATGAGTTTGACCTCATTCTTCTACTCATATCATAAAGTGCACCTTCAGGTTCACCATCGTTATCATCAGTGACGTCACCGCGGAACAGCTGTGATATTGTGACTTAAGAGAACCATCCAATACTTTCCACTTGGTTTGTTTTGGAGATTCCTTCCCTAAAACCCACCATCAGCAAATAACTGTGTCCACTTTTGTTGTTTCCAGAGCTACTACAGAGAAAAAGGGGTGCGTAAACCCGTGACGCCCTACCCAATACCGGCCAACTATCGACAGGCGGCCAGAGCATTGGTTTCTACGTTGACCAACTATTACAACGAAATGGAAGCTGCTCACAGGAAAGCTGTTGAAGGTAAGGTCTTACCAACAAACACCATGTGTATGTTCACTACTCACATAACCAAGTCATCTCACAAGGACCATCACCTGTTGCCTTATTACTCTCGTGCAAATTCACTCATATCATGTTCCCCTGTCTACTTTGATTCTAACATTGGTCCATCGTGCCGCTCCGGCTTCTGCGTGAATTCTCTAACACTGATGCGTTTACAAACAAACTAGGTGGGCAATGGGTATCTCGTCAATCAATCTTATTCGTCCAAAATGTGCTGGATGACGTCATTCTTTTTTCATAAAGTGCCTTCAAAAGTGGTTTAAAAGTGAACATGAAATAACTAGTCTTCAAAATAATGTGTGCAAGTAAAGGAATAGGTTCGCTTGTTGGTAGTGCGAGGAGATTTTGGTTTTCATGAAGCTTTTGTCATGTAAGTGAAGCCGATTCATGCTGAAGAGCCGAGAAGCACTGTACAGTTGTTTCATCCTTACTGGGAGTCACCAGCAGCACGCATCTCACGGAACTCCGAGGAGTCTCGAACCCGCGACCTCCTGGCCTGTGGTTTAAACAGTTAACCGTTCGGCCACGGGCGGCTGATCAGCGGTGTGACTAACTCGCAGTTTGACGGAAATCCAAGGCCGTTGCATTGTGGTCACTTGCGGTTTTTCATAACGTTCGCTGGTATAAGACGAGATTCCAGATAGAGAGAAAAAGAGCGGGCAGTGTGCGTTTAGCATAAGAAATTCAATACCAAAACACCGCCTAATCGTATAAATATCCATTTTCACGGATCCGTTACTGTCGAACACAGATGTCAGATACATAGGTACACATCTTGTCACTGAGCACACTTGGGCAGTACTCTTAATATCAAGGTGACTTTATCTTGTCAAATCTAGATTGGGTGAATAACTAGTGTGATGGATACGGTGTCAACCATTCACTTGTTAAGGACCACGAAAATTATTCGAATATTCATATGAGTGTTGAGAGTAGGGATCAACTTGCGCTTCCTTACGCAGCAGAAATAGGTACACCCGGTAGTCTTAGGTACATAGTGTTTGACACGTTTAACTATTGGCATTCGTCTTGTTGGAGCCTGCTACTCGTTTTCATCTCTGTTTTTCTTAACACAACTTTTCACTAAAGAACTCCATTCTGGGCTTCGTCAACTACTGGAACTATCCATGAAGTTGCCCGGTGTTTTGTTTGTTCTCTTGGTGGATGATTTCAAGACGAACACATTTAATGATCTGAGAGCTTCTGATGAGGCGATCATACAACAACTGCGAGTACAGAAACAACAACGGGTAAGTATGCCGGAGAAAGAGCGTTTCAATACCCTCGAGTTTTCTTCTTTTTGAGATGCAAACGAATCAACCCTCTGGAAAAATAGGATTCAACCTTCTCTGATGCGTCACAACCAGACTAGTCTTCTTCGATTAGTGGTCTGTTCTGAAGAGGGGGAGGGGCGATGAAAAACAAGGTATTTCTGCACATTTTTACGCGTCACTAAACTTAAACAAGCTGAGTTCAGAATATACTGCTCAACGCCAAGACTTGTCGACAATTCTCTGCTACTTGTCTCCAGATACCACAGGGTGCGTCCACTGTGCTTTTAATTACAGCGAAAAGCACAACCATCAGTGTTANTTTTTACGCGTCACTAAACTTAAACACGCTGGGTTCAGAATATACTGCTCAACGCCGAGACTGGTCGATAATTCCCTGCTACTTGTCTCCAGATACCACAGGATGCGTCCTTTGTGCTTTTAATTACAGTGAAGAGCACAACCATCAGTGTTAGTTTCCCAGAGGTTAGGTCGGCAGGCATTTCCCCAAATGAGTGAACATATAGAGGTTGGAGTTGACGGCGGTGCGGGATTGAGTTCCGCTGACTACAAAATAGTGACGACAGCTATTGTCCGCTAAAATATGCGGTCGGCTTGTCACCTTTGTGGTTGGCGACAATAAAACCAAGTCAGCTGACGTGTATTGAATCAGTGGTATTCTGCCTGCTCAAACTAGGTGGAATCATTGCTTTTGGGCCTACGGTTTCTTCCATCTTCAGTCAAGTTAACATCAAAAGTGAAATTGCGACCGAGCATTACTGTAAGGCCTACTTACCTAGGTCGACCTTCATTGATCATTAAATTTCTGGCCAACATCACCTCCCCCCCGGCCACCCACGCGACCCGCCTTCATGGAAGAATCTATTAGTAGTAGAAGTACACGTGGTGAAGTGCCAACTCCTCCACCAACAAGTATGACTGGGTGACCTTCTAAAAGTTCGAAGCGTCAGGGTGAAGTTAGCCCTGCACACTTACACGCTGCACTGCTATAGTGCGACAAAGAGCTGGTGTGTGCGAACACCGATTCATAACGATCGGTGGATGTCGAGTGCGACCCAAGGTCCGTATTGTTTATGACTGTGGCCACACCCCGTTCGTGGATTGTGACTACACCGCACCCCGTATGTGTCGAGAAGAGATCCAACAGTATGTACTCCAATCGGTTTTATCTTACCCAGTGACATGTGGTTTTCGTGACATCAACTATGATTTACTTCACCAGGCGTATGCCTAGTTAGTCAAAGGTGAAATTGTCAATCGGTTTCAGCTTTCACATCCACTGAAATTTTAGGCACCACACTGACCGTAGCCATCCGCACTGTCCTCTTGGATGATATGCAGACAGTTGGTGAGTACCTACTAAAGGGAAGCGATTGTTCGGGGAAAAAGGTTGTCTTACAAAAATTCACTTCAACACTATTGGTTTACGAGGTCTTCCAGAAAGACCGGACTGGTCAAGTCATATAGAAGATTTTGACAAATACACCCACTTGCAAATGGACTTGGTGTTGACAGAAAACTCAGCTGAATCTAGCTGAATTCCTCGTTTGCATTGGTCCATTGACGATGTTCGAGAGATTTTGGCAACCCTATAAGTAGTGTGTTACGTTCAAAGAAGGATTTCCCATCAGACACGGTATCACCTAATTCAGCCAAGCCTTGGCCTTGTCAGAACACAAGCCTTAGGTTAAACTCACTAGTTATCAAAGTGCAGTCGGCAGTTCCTAAGAGTACAAGGTTCTGACTATGTGGTGCATGACAGTGCTTCATTTGATGTGTCAAAATAAAATAAAACTAATGCGTTTGAATTACGACCACATCCACGAATATTCCGTAACGTTTGCATGCTCTCACTCACCAGGTGAGATGTTTTTCAGTGAAAAGTGTAAATTATAGGTCATCATTATTTTATTATCAATATGCTCAGCCTTGAGTTCTGCCTGAAACATTTTTCACAGAATACACACATTCGGAAGCTCAGAGCCGTTTTGGGTTTACCCTCAATGGACGAGCAGCTGGAAGAGATCGATTCGGAGGAGATCAAGCGTCAAACAAGGCTTACACAACTGGTTGCCAATTTAAAGCACGAGCGCCTCAATGTACTACGAACCGTCAGAACTCAATTTCCGAAGGTTCTTTGTCAACTAACCGATGACTTGTTGCAGCGGTGTAGCACAGGGCCAGGTGAGTTTTGGTAGTGATCACCCCAGAACGATGGCATTTGTCTTACTGCACACCAAACCTAATCGGACTGATGAACAACAATCACCGCTCAGCTAAAATGCGGATAATCGATAACTCGGCAGATATGCAAGAGAATCGATACATATGCGCAACATTTTGAGTTGAAAAGGGAATGAAAGTTCCGATAGCCATCACAGCCCAATAGATTTTAGTTCATGGTCAGGAACTGGTTGAATTTGCTCAGTATGACCTCCGGGTCAAACGATTACTCACGTAATTGATTTTTTTCCGGATGTGCTCGACTGTGAACACGAATTGTGCAAATAGTGAGTTTCTTTTTGAAAACGACACCTAAGTAGGTGAACTTCTGAGAAATATTCGCTCGGGAACGTACTTCCAGTGACGAACCGACAGTGATTGGTTGGAAAGATGAACCCGCTGGAGTATGGTCTTCTCAAGGGGAAACGAGTAGAGTGTAGTATTAGTGTAGTGTAGTGTAGTCGTAGGCAAGTTTTGGATTCTATTTCTTTGAAAACTGGAATCCTCACTTCCACTTGTTTTAGGTGTAATTGCTGTAAGTGATATCACTTGGAAAACCGAAGACTGTTTAGCATCCCAGTGTTTTCACAAGAGTAGTTTAGCATGCATGTCTCACCGTCTGCGAGGTGCTCAGATGATTGCGTTTCGTAGCACATGACGGATTACACTTTACCCACAGTTACTGCACACCCGTTTTCTCTATTGCTGGCCGTTTTCTTATTCAATAAATCTTTTATGGTTCCTGCAAAACCCGAGATTCTTGCATCCAGAAACGTGTATATTTAGTGTGGATTCATCGCCAGTCGTTATGTGATGCCGCTTTTTCACTGGTCAGATTTCGCACAAATTCACTACTTGATGTACCTATATTAAAATAGATATGGCGGTGAATAACATTGTCGGATGCGAACCTCAAAAGCGCTTGAACTACCCATGTTAACACTAATCATTCAGTAAGAGGCGTGTCGACGAACAGCTATTGTCCCTTTGGTTAGTGCGCGTGTAAAGTGATATTGCACAACAATACAACATAATAATTAGTCTAAAAGTGTGCGAAAATCACCGATCACTTGTTGTGTCATCATAAGCTTGTTTCGAATTTTAACCATTACCATCTTGTATTTATACTGCCGGACAAAGAATTACTTGGAATTTTCCCTTGCCAACGCGCCTTCAGTGGTTTGGTGGAAATCTCATATATGAGACACTCACATAAGATTTGAAAATGGTGAAAAATTGGAGCAGAACACTGTTTACTCGGTTAAGCTCTGGCAGAAAACGCTTCTTGTCAAGTTGTCGTGTCTGTCCCCAGGATGGTGCTTGTAGGGGTTTTCACAGTGATTAGTCATGAGCTGCCTCGTACGTTTTCACATGATAGATGACTAAAAAAGCTGCATCTGGGCGCGTACCTCAATTTACAAGTCTCTTAACTTTGGAGTGAAAACAAAGCTTTCCACTATTGGCGAGATTCTCTGGACCAAAAAATGTCCTTCTGGAACGGAGGTAACTTATGAGGGATGCCGCAAACTGTGTACTAAAAATGACGGGAAAGCACTCTCAGGATAGAAAGTTCCCCTGTCAACTTTAACGAACCTCTAGGTAAGTGCTTCACACTTGATGGGTATTAAGTTGAGATATGATAATCACTCATGTGTTACCCTGTGTTCGTTCTCGTCCACATAATCTCTACTTCCCGTTTTTTCCGCTGAGGACCCGCTACTTGCCTTGGTGTGATTTACACCAAAAGCCTGTGATATGTGCGCAACCCAGCGGTACATCACCAGGTTCAGTTTAGTACAATACAGAAAGCAAGGTGGACAGAGGTTTTGTTCAAATTGGCTGCAAGGTTCAGGTCCATAATATCACCGCCGCCATCGGTATTAGCACACTAAAAATACTAATAATGGCGGTACAAATCATCACCATTCAGAGCGCTTGTAGCTGTAAACCGTGTAGGGCAAGTAGAGTGGTTCTGGAAGAATTGTGAGTCGGAATGAAAGGACTGCGTACTGGAGGCAACAGCCCAAAACAGTGAAGTATAGGCCCAGTTTTTCATGAGTAGCTTTGAGGTGTCCGTTGAAGGCTGCAGCAAAGAAGCGTAGATGCCCTTGAGGCTCTGTGGCTCACCCTGATGTCCAAAACCATACGGATGGCGGTTGGCAGCTCAACTGCGTTCAGTGATAGCGGCTTATATGATTTGCTGTCAGATAATGGCACAGCTTCCTTTGGGATACTTCCATCCAGTAAAAGTTCATCCAAGTTTAGGTTAATGAGACTGATGATGTTATTGAATCGCGAACATACAGTTGAATCGGCGGTTAAGTGTTGCAGCTCGAATGAAAAATCGATAGTTCTGAAACTGTGTGGAGCGTCATATCAGCTAGAATTTCCCCCGTTAATTCCAAGTGAAAGTATTCAAATCTACTAATGCAGCTCCCGTAACCAGAATGCCGAAAATCCTTAATCAAAGGACTCCATTTGACCGGTATTGCACGGTTGTGGCATACATCATCATCATCACCATCACCATCATCATCATCATCATCATCATCATCATCGTCTCATTTCATCATCATCATTGTCAGCTGTAATAACCGCGTAATCGTCGTACAGTGGTTGTAGCTGCCGCTGTTTCGTTCACCGATGATTTGGACGGAGGGGGTTGGTAGCTGCGCATTGTAGGCTGTGGGCTCTCAAGTGAGGGGGGTTGTAAAAAGAGCTATGCATTGAAAGCGGTAGCTTGGATGCACGAGCGCCATTGAGGGCGCGACTGGGGACATTTGTAAAACTGGACTGGAAAACCAGCTTTTTGGGCCTTACCTACTACCACCCTTTTCTTTTATGTACATATTCATTTACAATTGGTGAATCGTGGTTGAATTTCAGAGGTGAAAATCAAAGCTTCAACCTCACAAACGGCAACCGCGGAAGACGGTGCGTCTCAGCTAGAAGATCCTAAATTGCCATCCATATCAAAGGGTCAACCAATGACTGGGCAAGTTTCTGTTGCCAAAATGGATGTCGATGTCGTACACTTGAATATCCGGATTTCGCAGAGGTGGGCGGAAGAAGTACGTTTCAACTATCGGCAAATTTTCTGATGATGTAGGAAACAAACGTGTGTGTAGAACCTCGGGCACAGCTAACTGTTCATCACTAAAGTTCATGACGATACTAGGGGTCACAGATTTTGTGACAGCATAGCTGATTAGACTGCCCTAATCGACTCAACTGTTTGTCCATCTAACATGGTAGAATTTGTTGATTGCGGTTCATTCTCATTGCCTACCAATCCTGTTCATCTGCTTGCCTTCACGACGAAGGTTTCGAGGGTTGATTTAAACTCCGGTGTATAGGTTTCTTCCACGTGTGCCTGTCTGGTTTACAGATGAGGCCTATACAAAAAAGGCAAGAAGTATTTGGCAACTGCTTCATCTCGCATCGGAGCAGCCCACTGATCATCATCATCATTATCATCATCATCATCATCATTATCATCGTCATCATCATCATCAACATGGTTATCAGCCCACTGAAGTTTCCAATTTTTACCGTCCCTGATGGTGTCTTGAAAAACCTGACCCTCAGCCGGTGCTAGACGTTTGACTTATTTGGTGTGAGACAGGGCACATCACCGCTCAATCTTCAAGCGCGGAAGTGAGGAACTCACAGTCAAAATTTTGTGATTGATGTTGTTTCAGAGCAAATCGCCTACAGTTTGTTGATAGCGAGTGATTCTCTTCTGCCAAGGCCTAGGTAATCCGAATGGATTTCTGCTTTAGTATCGCCTTGTGCAGTTTTAGTCCGGATACATTTAGGCTGGTGCAGCAAGGAGACAATAACGAACGTTTCCCCCTCAAAAGGAGTAGAAAACTGGCTGTTTCCTGTAGGCACTTGGTGTCATCCACGTGGGTGTTTGCAACAAACCTTGTCAGTTTATACATGACATAGTGAGTGATTCCGCAGGATACTCAGTAGTTTTTCATTTATGGAACAGTAAAAAATAATAGCGCATTAGCATGAGTCTGTGCGGCGAAAGTTGGTTCTAATCATCCAAGAATGATGAATGGGGAAATCACAAAAACAACCTAGCCAAACTCGAATACAGTGCTTTTCATTCGAGTAGGGAGTACGGTCGTTCACAGCTCTATCACATGTTTTCCTAATTTATAACCTAACAAGAACTGGACGTGAATTGAAAGAGGCTTCATGGAAAAACACAGGTCTGTCAGCCTGTGTTCACTCTGCCCACGGGTTTGCGGTTTAAACATCACCAACCAGCCTTTTGGATAGCTGACTTACTAAGTACTAGGCTAGCCAATTTTTACCTCACATATTCGTTCTTTTTCAACTTTCAGGAGCTTAATCACTTCCTGGACCGACTGACCACAGATGTGGAAAAAGAATACCATGCTTCAATGAAAACGAGTGAAAGTTGGAGGGTCGAATGGATGGAGAGTGTTCAAGCACTAAAAGCCGTTCACAAGTAACTGCCGCCTGTCAGACACGCAGCGCAACCTGGGCATACAAAAGTCGGGATCGATTGTCTCTGGTTACAATTGTTCATTCACTAGGATCCAACTGCATTAATCCTGAACTTGTCACCATGCACAATCATGCATTTTCTCTACGATATCAACACTGCTTTTGTGCAGTATTGGGCAACCAGAATAAAATAGTTCTTTTGTCTGATGCATTTTGTAACTTGTTGCGTGATGGTTGGGCTGTCGTGTATGTACGTTTGAAAGTAGACATCGGTGAACCGCATGAAGGTCTCGAGCTCCAATGAAATACTTAGATTAGGCTGATGGGCAGTGCTGGGGGAATTTTCGTGAACAAAATTTTTCGTTATCGGCTTTATGAATGTTGTTCAAGACAAAGCGAGTCTGCAGTTAACTGTCCAAGCCTAGAAGATAGAACTGGTTGGCCAGTCTCTGTTTCAAGCATGATTAATTCCATGTGCAAAGAAATATGAGACGTACGGGAAAGAATTGAACGAATTTACTAGTGTTTCACGCCATTCAACACTCATGTATTCTCATCTATTAATCATTCCGTCATCATCGACTGAGCAACATGAGATCGTGGTTTCAGTTGAGAAAGAGGTCCTTGCATTCTCCACTCCACCTTGCATCAAACCGTCGACCGAGAAATTTCAATCAGCTCTTCAAAACAGGGGAGATGAAGCAATGACAAAGGGAATCGGAAGAAAACAAGCTATAACAGCAATAGTTTTGCAGTGGTACGATTACATGAACTGAACTATGAAGTAATAAGTTATCCGAAATGAGCAGAAAATTGTGAAGGTAAAAAAGGAATACAATTTAAATATTCCCGTGAAATCCCACTGATGTCAAAAAGTGCAGTTACCAAAACGGTGAGAAAAACCGTTTATTAAGTGCACAGCATAATAATGAAACTAAGGAAAGCAGGTTTGGGACTCGGTCGTAGACTGCTATGAATCTCGATGGAGGAATTTGTAGTTTGGGGGGAGGAGTTATTATGGGAGAATTTGCTCCTCGATTTATTCTCGCTGACAACATGTGGGGTCTTGTGCCATCGTACAAAGTGGTGAAGGAATCGGACGAGAACTGTGAGATCATTCAGGAATGATATTTCCAAATGGAATTTCTGTAGCCTTGTANATTTATTCTCGCTGACAACATGTGGGGTCTTGTGCCATCGTACAAAGTGGTGAAGGAATCGGACGAGAACTGTGAGATCATTCAGGAATGATATTTCCAAATGGAATTTCTGTAGCCTTGTAATGAGCTTGCCAACTTATACAGACAAAAAGCAACATATAATGTGGATCTCCGGTTGTGGGTGAACTCTACCAATGGGCATAGTGTTAAAAAAGAAACAAGAATGAACTTCTCATCTGGTGTAATGTTTGAAAGCAAACTACTTGAGTTGCTAACTTCATTCGTATTCTGTTTGTTTGTCTCCGTCTCATTGATTAAACCATTCCCATCGGGGTAAGGATAATGGTATAATATAAAATCGATATAGACCAGTTAGAAAAATCGTCCGAAAAAAAAACATCCTAAAATGCCCGGCACTCCTAGTCAGATTCCATCTCACGTTTAAAATTTTTAAGGTCACAGCAGTGATGAGTTCCAACATGAACTTTACTCACACACCACGGCTGTTCAGCAACTGGGAACACCTACAGATGAAATCGACTTGACAAATCCTCGTTTGCATGTTAATTTCAAACGCTCAGCCATGGTTGTCATGGTTACAGAGTAAGAACAATCAATTGGAAATGTTTGGGGCCCACTGGGAAGTCATCATTTCAGAGAGAGAGGTTCGGTAAACAATCGGTGGATTTATTGCTCGGCAACGTTTCGCTTTTGACACAAAAGCTTCGTCCGGCCAAGTAAGTAAGTAAGCAGGTTGATCGGGTTTTAAAGCAGTCAGGGAACCAATCCGTGAGATTTCTTATGACTAGCCGACTTGATCAGGGCTGGGTGTTCAGTTTGATGTTCCTGTTTGTTGGTTAGTGGGGATGACTAACATTCACGACAGATTGGTTAGCGGGTGGGGAGGATTTGTCTCCATGATGAATCCGAATTTTTTCGTCCTTGCTTTTTCAGTCTAAGACACCTTAATGGAAAATTCCTCTTGGGGTTTTTTTCGTACAGGAAACTACTCACAAGTTTGCTGAAAACTCTTCGACAGCCCATGACCGGTTTCGCGCTTCCCAGGGCTCATCAGGTAGGGGCAGTCCCCGAGTTTCCGTCAGCCTTATGTCCTACTTGAGGATTTGTCTTCATGATGAATCCGGGTTTTTTCATCCTTGCTTTTTCAGTCTGGGACACCTTAATGGGAATTTCTCTTGGGGTTGTTCACAGATTTCGTTCACCTGTGTTCATCAAAGGATGCCGTGACAACTGGTCTGTGGATGGGGGTGGGGGTGGTTAATTGGATCTAACTTTACCTGGATTCTGTCAGACAGCTCTCCACACGTTTGCAAGTTCCACCCCTTATATTCTATTTACGCTGGGATGTTTGGTGATTTCCACCAACTTGGCCACCAGTCGCTGTGGTGTGAATATTAAACCCTGTCTNTGCTTTTTCAGTCTGGGACACCTTAATGGGAATTTCTCTTGGGGTTGTTCACAGATTTCGTTCACCTGTGTTCATCAAAGGATGCCGTGACAACTGGTTTGTGGATGGGGGGGGGGGGGGTTAATTGGATTTAACTTTACCTGGATTCTGTCAGACAGCTCTCCACACGTTTGCAAGTTCCACCCCTTATATTCTATTTACGCTGGGATGTTTGGTGATTTCCACCAACTTGGCCACCAGTCGCTGTGGTGTGAATATTAAACCCCGTCTCAGGATGTCCACATTTTCTAAATCTATCCTATGCCCAGTGTCTAGTGCATACCCTGCCATTGCCGAATCTTCGACTATCGCCTGATATTCATCTATGTTTCCCGGTGGTCTGTTAATAGAACGCTTATGCTATAAGATTCTGGTGTGCAATTCCCTTGCTGTCTGACCTATATAAACCTTCGAACCGTCGTTACGCTTTATTTTGCATACATGATTCCTAGTCCTATCAATGGGAAGGCGATCCTTCAAATGTTTCAACACTGAGAGTAAAGTCTTTCCCTTCTGGAATGTTACCCTAATGTTAGCCGTATTCAGTACCCTTCTAATGACTTCAGATGTCCCTGTTTTGTATGGAATGACCGCTGTTCCGATGCGCTCCTTGTTGAGCCTTGGTGTTCATCATCATCATTGTCAGCTGTAAGAACCGCGTACTCGTTGTACACTGGTTGTAGCTGCCACAGTTTCGTTCACCGATGCTTGGGGGGGGGGTAGGTAGCTGCGCACTGCACGCGCGAGCTGGTAAATTGGTGCATAAATCCAGCACTGTATGTGGGTTGTCAAGCGGGGGGTGGTGGAAAAGGAGCTATGCATTGAAGGCAATAGCTTTGATGCATGAGCGCCATTGAGGGCGCCACTGGGCCATGTCTGATAATGTCTCTAGCCATTGATGTGGCCCGTCTCGGGGTCCCCATCCAGGAAGACGGCAGTGACCAGCGTAGCTGATTTTGCTGGTGTTCGCACCAATACTTGCCTCAGTTGCCACTTAATTAAACCCGCTGGATATCCGCTATCTTGAAGTCGCTTTATTTTACCTCAAGTTGTGCTGCTCCTCGGTCGACCTCCTCTGTACACGGTGCTCTCACTCTCCTAAACATCGTTGAAACTATACCACAATACATTGCTTTTGGATGTGCTTTGGGGTAGTTTAAGACCGCATCGCTATCTGTTGATTTGATTGGTAAATAGTGGTTTTCAATTTCCCACCACTCTTTTGTGTCATGCATTCAAGGAAAGGTAGTGTACCCGATGTGGACTTACTGTGAGCGTCCAAAGTGTTAAGATATTGAAAGAATTCGTTCACCTCATCCCGCTTTCTCACAACGAACGTGTCATCTACGTAACGCCGGAACACCCTTGGTGGACACTCGAATCAGTTTAAAGCTTTCTGCTCAAAGTCTTCCATGTACCCAATTATTGTTTATTGGTCAATTTCCAATGCATACCCTCGTTGACCAGATATCTGATGGGAACAGACAACGACAACAACACGAATTCGAAGCCATCGAAGAGTTTGCAACAACCTTGTGAGTAGTTTCCTTCGTCCAAAAGAAAACGCGTCCAAGTTGTGCCTCACTTAGCTCACTAAGCAAGGGGCTGAAAAGTTTAACCGGTGTAACCGGATGACATTCTTTCAGGATATCGGATGATGGCTCTTTACTCCTATACAGTTTGACCATGTAGACACATTGTTCTTGTCCAAGTATTTGGCATTTCCGCGCTAGGTCTCAAGCAGATTCACAAGGATGATCTCTCTTCGTTCTTGTGACAAATTGGAGCCAGTTTACCCATGAAATCGTCTAGCTGTAAAAATGGTTTCTCTCAAGCGTGTGATGTTATCCAGGAAAACGTTTTGATGAAAGGAAAGCATTGTTTATGACCTTCGTTTCTTGGTACCTTTTACGGGAGGATCCACCCAACCCCAGCTTGGACACCACTGATTCCTGTGGATGAATACCTGCACGGAGTCACGTGTCCGACCTTTGAACTTGAACTGGCCTACGAACAACTTTATTCCATAAACCTTTTCTACGATGTCCCGCAGAATAAGTAGACGCCTGAACAACACATGCATGAAAAATGTCCAAACTAGAAGCGAACATTTCGGGTACTTTTCTTGTGTTTTGAGCCAAGCACAAGCGGGAACACGGGGACTCCATCGTGGATGGCCTACAACACCAACAACACACAAATTCTTCGTGATCACTTTCCCGCTTTCTGCGAAGTCATACGTTGTTCACCTCGCGGTATGCGCCATTCTGAACAACGCTCGTCTCCATAGACAGCGTCCCGTCATGCGTAGCACATGGTCGAGCCAACGTAGGCAATGGTGTTGAATGTTTTCCCCGATGGAAGTACCCGCCGCACAACCAAATACCCGTTTTCTAATCACCTAGTCACTAACACGCTGACGCCATCCATAACCAGCCACGCTTCTGAGGCATTGGTGGTCAAATAGCTGAAGACAGATCACATCATCCGTCCGCAGAGGCCACGTCTCGCACCCATACAACAACACAACCCTTGGTGTAGCCTAGTACACGTGACCCTTAACATCTAG